CCATTTCTCATGGGCTAACCCCAACCACTGCTCAGCTGAAAGAGTAATTTTAAAAAATACCAACCTGTTCCATCGTCTCCCATGATCAGCATGAAAAATGCATGTGACGTTAGGCTTGCTTCATTATTCATCAGCAGCATTAATTATGCAGCCCGGACAGCTGAGTTGTCGGTGGCTTAGGGTACTTGCAGTGGGAGGAACTTTGTCAGAAAAGCCAGCTGAGGGTGATTTACCCTTGAAGAATCACAGGACCATAGAATGATGTGGGGTAGGAAGAGACCCCTGGAGATCATCCAGTCCAACCCCCGGCCAGAGCAGGGCCACCCAGAAGAGGTCCCACAGGAATGTGTGCAGGAGGGGTTGAATGTCTCCAGAGAAGGAGACTCCACCACCTCCCTGGGCAGCCTCTGCCAGGGCTCTGCCACCCTCACAGCAAAGAAGTTCCTCCTCATGTTTAGATGGAACTTCTTATCTTCAAATACGTGCCCGTTACTTCTTGTCCTGTCACTGGGCACCACTGGAAAAAGACTGACCCCATCCTCCTGACACCCACCATTGATGAGATCCCCCCCTCAGCCTTCTCTAGATTAAAAAGACTCAAGTCCCTCAGCCTCTCCTCATAAGAGAGATGCTCCAGACCCCTCATCATCTTTGTAGTCCTTTGCTGGACCCTCTCCAGCAGTTCCCTGTCCTTTTTGAACTGGGGAGCCCAGAACTGGACCCAGTGCTCCAGCTGGGGCCTCCCCAGGGCAGAGCAGAGGGGCAGGATGACCTCCCTGGACCTGCTGGCCGCCCTCTTCCTGATGCCCCCCAGGATGTCATTGGCCTTCTTGGCCACAAGGGCCCATTGCTGGTTCATGGGCATCTTGGTGTCTACCAGAACTCCCAGGTCTTTCTCCAGCAGGTCAGCCCCAATCTGTACTGGTTTGTGGGGTGATGCCTCCCCAGGTGCAGGACCCTACACTTGCCCATGTTGAACTTCATCAGGTTCCTCCATGCCCAACTCTCCAGCCTATCTGGGTCTCACTGTATGTGGCTCACTTTGGTGTCATTAAAAGGACTAGGAGATACTCAGGAGGGGAGAAACCGAACGCAAAGTTCTCACAACAGCCAATGCAATGTGGGAGAACGGCCTCACCCTTAAGGCTGCAACAATTTGGGGGCCACATTTTAATTTCTGGATCCTCCGTGACCTTCCCAAGTGTTTCATGTGCCTCTTCCTCCTTCACCTGCGGCGGAGCCAAGAGATGCTCAATCAATTTGGCGCCTGCAGAGCTTCAGGAGGCGTTAAGATTGACCCTCAGAGGTGAAGCAGAGTCTCCCTCCTGCAGAGGTGTTGATTTCATGCCTGGGCAATAACCAGAAATCAAGAGAAGGAACCCGAAGACTAATGAAGCTTAATGATCGCTCAGTGCAGAGCCAGGAATTGATTCTCCCAGTGAGTTGTGGGGTGACTGGCACAAAGCAGGGGAAATCACGTCCCACAGGAAGCGAAGAGAGCAGGATTGAGCCCTCCAAATAAAAGCTTCTTTTCTTGAAGCTTCGGGTTTGGGTGGCGGGTGAGTGATGAAGGGTCTTGGAAAAACAAGAAAACTTGGGTTTAGTAGCATTTTGGAGATTGCAAGTCTGATTTTTGGACAAATCCTGGCTCTCTGAATAGGAAAAGCTCCTCTCCGGAGCTGGAAGTTGGCATGACCTTGTGAGGCCTCATTGAAGGGCCAGGACATCTCATGGGGGACCCCCAGGTCCCTTCCAGGACATGGTCTGCAAAGGAACCGGGGTGTCCTTGCTCAGGGGGGGTCCTGCAGCTGCAGAGCCCTGTGCTGGGATGAAACACAGGCTGGAGCATCCCTGTCCCCTCTGGTCACCATCCCTGTCACCAGCCTGTCCAGAGGAATTAATTGCTTGGTGATGCCACCTCCTCTGTGACAGAACAGAAGGATGGTTCAATGGGTTGACTTTTTGCCCCAATTCCACTTTTTCTGGGGGGTGTTCAGCTCCCAAAGTCTTTCCTGAGCTCCTTTTTAGCACCAAAAGCCCCTCTGAGAAATGCCGGACCCAGATGAAGTGGGGTGATGACAAGGCATCCGTGCCTGACCTCCTCCCCATCCCGGTGGGACAGGGACCTCTTGGATGGCAACATCTCATGTTAAGGTTTTCTCTCCACCCTGTGCATTTTCACCTGTGCAAGGCAGGGACATCATCCAGCTGCTTTCAAAGCTCCAGCCCACCCAGTGAATGAGTAATTAGTCATTAATTTGAAGGTGGAATTTTTCCATTTGGGTCCAAGGCATTTTGGCAAATTTTTTTTTGGAGGAATAAGGCAGATTTTTCACCACAAAGTTGATGCTGGGAGCTGGTGAAACCCTTCGGAAGATGCAACAGGGAAAAGTGAGATCATGTCTCAAAGACATGGGCGAGTTATAAAATTTGGCTTGTTCTGGCTCCTCCTTCGCTGTCGGCGGGAGCTGCTCCCCCGTATTCTCAACTTCTCCAGTTGCAGAAAGAGGCACTTTGGAGACAGACGAGTTGTCAAACAGGCAGAGAGTCCGTGTCAAGCAAGAAAATGGGACGAAAATTCCTACCAGAGAGGCTGACAGTGCCTTGAGGGGCCAGCACTGTGCACATGGGACCAGGTGGAATCACACCTGAGCAGGGACACACAGGGGCATGGGGACCCCGACCCCTCCAAAATTTCATCACCTGGGACGCGAGTGGAACAGCCACATGTTGAAGTATGGTGTTCTTCAACCACGTTCCTTTAGATCCTCTGCACGTGGAGGGTTTGATGTTTTAATGCCAAAATTTAGTTATTTGAAGATGTTATGGGGGAGGTTGGTTTAGAAAAATGACAGCACAAATAAAATATCACAATTGCAAGATGTGGCTGAGTGGCAATTCCAGCACAATTCCCGTTACTGGTCTCTAAATATTCACCAGCATGACACTGGGTGTCCCAAGTCAAAAGGAAGGAAGATGCAGAGCTTTCTTGGAGCTTTCTTCACCAATTTACTTATTTGCGGATATTTGATATTACGGGGGGGTTGGGCTAGAAAAACAGGCCAGTGGCCTACTGAAAAATCACAACACAACACAACTGAATCACAATAAAAGCATCATTCCTGTTACTGGTCCCTAAATATTCACCAGTATGACGTTGGGCGTCCCAAGTCAATGGGAAGGAAGATGTGGGTCGTAGCTCTCTTCAAAGCTCATTTTGCTGGTTGATTAATTTTTCTCCTCTGCGTTGGGTGCCCCACAACCTCGCCCCACATCAGTCTGGTTTGCTCTGGATTATTTTAGGGAATCCAGTTGGCCAACTCAACCGATAGAGCCAATTATGGACAATGAAGGACACCCCTGGTCCTCCTAGTGCTGAGTTCAGCTCCCTTTGAGGGGGCTGTGGTCACCTCCTCCTTTTTTCCTAACCTTCACGAGCTCATCATTCTCATCTGTCTCCTCTGAGCCTTCTTCCATTGCAGGGGGTTGTTGCTTTGGTGCCACATCAGCTGCCAGTCAAGTAGGACGTTGGCGATGGTTGAGGACACAGCATGGCCTATGGGGTAGGAGGGACTCCAGCAGCAGATGGTGGCCCTGAAAGGTTGCCCCGGCAGCAGCACGAGGAACGGCTCACCAATACGTAGCATAAATAGCCCAAACTACCATATTTCATGTGATTTTGGGCTCATTCACGTGAGTTCTGTGAGCAGATCATGAGCAGAGCCCAAGTCTCGTCATTTTGTATAGGTCTCGGGATGGTTTATAAAGTCCCAAGTTCCAGACTCACAGGATAATGTCGTCATCTTTCCTCGAAAACCACAAATTTTTATCCCCACCCCACCACCACGAAGCACGAACCCTAAAGGCTCAAGAAAGAGAAAAAGATATTCTCCATCTCCCGCTTGAGAAGACAATTTGGGGACCTTTGGGGAGCCTTCATCCCTCCACGGTGGGTTGCAGCCTAAGGGAAGGAGTGGGATGCTTGGACTTTGCCCGATTCTCTGCATTTTAATGAAAAGCAGAGGAAAGCTGGAAGTTTTCAATTGAGGAGGGAAAGGCTGCTCCCTGCAGGTTGAGGAACAGCAGAGACACCCGGGCTGGGTCAAAAGACACAACCCAGGAGCTCCCTCAAGGAGATACCTTACCCAATAATTTAATTCTTTGATTACTATCATATATATTTTTATTAACAACCAAAAAACAAAAACCCCTTCAGAAATTCTCTTGGGAAGGACAAATCAAGGAGCAGGTTTGAGAATGGAAGAGGTTGGGTGTGGGCTTTGACCCCCCCTTTGCCACGGCGGTCCCGGGATCAACAAGGCATTTATTTGCTCCCTTCTAATTGCATTTCACACCTTAAAATTGTAAAATATCACATAAGAGCATGGAAGGAGCTGAGAAGTTTCTTCTTGAGGTCATCTTCCACGGGCAGGTGACTTAGATCCCTTTTCTCTTTGAAGAAGAGGGAAAAAATTTTAAAAATAAATATACGTTCCTGCTTCCAAGTTTATCACCGGCACAAAATTGGCAGAATTCAGCTGGGAGAGATGGGGTTTTTTCCATCTTCAGATCACTCTTTCACCTGAGCACGATGCAAATTGTATCCAGGGGTAGAAATCCCACACAGAGGGGGGCAACCCTAAATCCCACACGGGCGCTGGGTCAGCATTTCCACCCATCAGTTATTAATGATACGATTATTAATGACATAATTATTAATTCATTAAAAAACCTAAAGGGCAGCGGCGGTGAATTTCTGCTTGCAAATCCCAGGATTTTAAGGCTCAGAGAAGATGGGGAAATCCAGCTGCCAGCTCTGAATTTGGAGGCTGAAGAAGAGAAGATCCCCCAGATAAACTGGATTTTTTCAGGAGCCCCAAAAAGGTGCCGAGGGAGGAAAGGGAGGGGATTTTAATAATTTTTTAGAAAACCACTCTCTGCTTCCCAGTGCTGGGAAGATGCCTCTGTTTGCAAAGGAAACAGCTCATCTGCTTGTTAACTTTTTTTTTTTTTTTCCATTTAAGCTTTCCTTGGGAGCATGATTATATTTTTTTCTGGCTCATTAGGCTTCATCCAGCGCTAATTAAAGAAGAGATGGTTTGACGTGGAGTTGGTGGCTCCCAGAGAAATGGCCATTCCCATTTCCAGCTCCTTTTTATCCAGTAAAGTCAATGCACAAGGGTCAGTTGGTGGGAATCGAAGCTCAGAAATTCAGCCTAGAAAGAAAAAGAGGCAGGTAATTAGCTGGCAAGTTAATTAGCTGTTGGAAGGGGCTGCCACAAGATGTGGTAACATGCGATGATGGGACTTCTTGAGGAGCTTGGGTTGAGGTGAATGCTCAGAAACAACCTTCAAAGGAGCTTTGTGGGGAGGACGGGGATGTCTCGGGTGGGGGCAAAGAGAAAAAAATCACAGAAAATGCCTCTGCCCGGCGCAACTGAGCCCCGAAAACACATTTATCCAGAAGGAAAAAGTCTTTCAATCATTAAAAGGCAAAAAAAAATATAGGGGAGAAAGGAGTTTTGGTGGGATCGCAGCATTATTGGCAGTTACAGACTCTGTGGGTGCCATATGGTGAAATGACAAGGATTCGTGCCTTGCCCTTGGTCTGCATTTCTCTGGAAAGATGAAAAATCAGGTTTTCCCCCAAAAAAATCCTTCCAAAATCCAATTCTCAGCCTTCCCCCATGAAGGGCAGTGGATGGGGACTCCCAGGCACCCTCTAAGAAGATTAGCATGGCCCACGGTGCCCCAGCCCCCACCTCGATCCACCCACCTAATTGGCCCAATTGCTAATTGAAGCTCACCCAGCCCTCCACCCACCTAATTGGCCCAATTGCTAATTAAAGCTCACCCAGGCATGGCGGTAACATTAATTAATATTAACAAGTAACAGGCAGGTCCAGAAGGCTGTTCTCAACCCACTACAGGAGCCATTCACCCATGTCCCACTTATGGGCAGAGACAAGGTGAAGAGCAGCATCTCCAGCAGCTTATTTTTTTTAAGACAGAAATGATGTTTTTAACTTTTTGGCAGAGACAAGGTGAAGAGCAGCATCTCCACCAGCTTATTTTTTTAATACAGAAATGATGTTTTTAACTTTTAAACAACTTTTAAGAAGTTTAAAGTTGAGGTTTTAAGGCAGTTCTGTGATGTGGTCGGGCCACCTTTGCGGAGAGGAGACATTGATGATGCTCAACCTGGTGGCCACCAGGAGCCCTTGCTGAGGTTGCCCCGTCAGCCAGGTCATTAATGAAGGTGGCCACCAGGAGCAGACCCAGGCTTGTCCCCACCCCGAGGTGACACCAGCACCCACCTGATGGCTTTAGACCACCCCAGGGATTGAAATTCAGAGAACTTCATTAAAAACCTGGCATTTTTCTCACCTAAGACTTGAATTTGTGGCTTTCATTAGTAAAGTAAATTAATCCCAGTTCTTTATGGCCACGGCGGCCTTATTTAATTTTCTGTTCTGTTAACGACCCGCTTGAAGCTTCATTTAAAAGCAATGAGGCTTCGTTGTTGCATTAAAAGGGAGAGAGATATTGTGTTTTCTTCAGGTCAGGAGGCAGACCTGCTTTATGCCTTATGAGCCCTAACGATTATTGCCGAGGGCTGTTGGGTTCTTCTCATTAAAGGTGGGAACATTCAGTTTGACCAACTGAAACCCAAGGAGTGGGGCCGGGCTGGTCGTGGGTGGCATTTAGTGGCCCGGAGAGAAACTGGAGTCACCCCCGTGGCAGAGGAAGCGGGGGCTGGTTGTTTTGGGGGGGAAAAAAAGAGGTTTTCAGAGCACGTGGAGCCAGAGCAGCATCAGACCGACCCGTCAGTCTCACCTCTGTGCCTGGGAAGATCATGGAACAGATCCTCCTAGATGCCATGCTTGGGCACATGAAGGACAGGGAGGTGATCCAGGACACCCAACATGGCTTTACTAGGGGCAGGTCCTGCCTGACTAACCTAGTGGCCTTCTATGATAAAGTGACTTGGTCAGTAGACAAGGGGCGACCTATGGATGTGATCTATCTGGATTTCTGTAAGGCCTTGGACACGGTCCCACAAACCATCCCGATTGCCAA